GGAGGGACCGCAGCGCCCCCGCGCCTGAGGGGGCTCGGCCGCCATTTTAAACGGCTGGGCGGGGGCTGTTTGTTAATGACTGCTACCTCGCAAAAAAAAAAAAAAAACAAAAAAACAAAAAACACATAGAGAAATAAATAAATACTGCCTTAAGATGCTGTGCTGGAGGTGGCAGGTGCTCTGCTGCCCTCAGTCTGGCTGCCTGCCCCGTGTTCATCCAGGCCCCTGCTGTGTCACACAGCTGCAATGGGGGAGTCATAGAATGGTTTGGGTTGGAATCATAGAATGGTTTGGGTTGGAAGGGACCTTAAAGATCACCCACTTCCACTCCCCTGCCCTCGGCAGGGACACCTCCCACCAGACCAGGTTGCCCAAATCCCCATCCAGCCTGACCTTGAACCCCTCCAGGGATGGGGCAGCCACAGCTTCTCTGGGCAACCTGGGCCAGGCTCCCACCACTTTCAGTGTAAAAAATTTACCAGTCTGCCATCCTAAAGCAGACCCTTTCCTCAGCAATTCAGCCCAACTTGTCGCACCTGGCAATGAGCTGCTGCTCTAATGCCACCTTGTTCCTTTTTAAATGCCATCAAAGGGTGCCAGCTTGACAGCTGCTATGAGCATTTAGTAAAATACATGGGTGTTTGGGGTTTGTGGGTCTTTTTAATTGCACAAAAGGTATTTACAGATGGTGTTCAGGGATCCCCTGCTTCAAACACAGAGCCGCCTGTTCCTCAGCATGGCTGGAGGGGACAGGCTGGAGGCAGCCCCGCAGTAGCCGGTGGCTAGCCATGGCCATGGGCACTGTACTGAGGCCGGGCTGGGGCTGCCCGTTGTGCAGTGAAACGTGCGCCTGGGAACTTAATTCCTAATTTTTGTTCCTTGTAAATCAAGGCGGACGCCGCTGTAAATCCTCGGGAAGAAAGCAGGCGGCCAGGAGCAGCACGGAGCAAAGAACAGGGCTGTTTTTCTTTCCAGTGCCAAAGAGCCCATCCGTGACACTCGGTGCTGCGCTGGGTCAGGCCTTCACCCTCTGCTAGGTTAATACTAACAACTCCTTCATCTAAAGGGCAGCTGGGCCCCCTCCTTGCACTTTTCTGCCTTTCTGTCCTCCTGTTACAGCAGCAATAGCCTCTGAAGGAGCTGCACTAATTAGTCGCTATTACACTTCTTGGGTGGCTAGAAGAACACGCTGCCTCTGACCTCATGCTTTGCGATGTACCTTAACAGCTTATTACTGCTATTGCACGGCAGCAATGGTTCATTTTATAGTTACTTTGAAAGAGCCGTTCCTCTGGTGCTGGGAAATAATCTAAGACTAATGCACAGTCTCTCCAGAAGACTGCTGTTAAACTGTCTATAACCGAGTGTCCAAACACTGCACAAAGCTGTTTCATTTGCTTAACATCGACTCACTAGCAATTAATATGCCTGACATCGCAGCACACTACAAGGCCCATAAAATCTGTAGCAGTAGGGGAGTGAAATGATTATAACACTTTTTTTTTTTTCTTTCCTTTTTTCAATAATACCAGACTACAGTTTGGGCACTGTAATCTTTTCAAAGCAAGAAGCTGAGCTGCATCTGAACAGCTGTTGTTTACTGAAGCAATAATTAGCAATGAACCAGCCGAAATACCTGCTACCTTCCGCAGCAGCAGCTCAGCGGCCACTTGCACCCTGTGCCTGGAAGCAGAGAGGTGTAGGCTATACTTAATAAAAAAAAAAACAAACCTCACTTAATTAACTTTAAGAAAGGAAATATTTGAAATGGTAGCATCAGCCAGCCTTATGCATGTGAGTGATCCCACATGGTGCGCTGGGAGGCACACACTTCAGCTCATCCCAGATGTCCCCAACACAGTGGTTTTCAGCTGGTGGGGGCACAGGACGTGCCACAAACAAGCTGCACCCCCTGCTCCTGGGACTGAAACCTCTGGGGAAACACATGTACAAAGCCATTTGCCAAATCTGCAAGTCTCCTGGTCTTGTGAGGCTTTTTGGCTTGGATTAAGATAGCAGCAAAACGGCAGTAGGAGAGGGGAAGGACAACTGCAGAAGACGGGGGAGCAAAGAGGTAGCCACGGACCATGCTGAAGATGGGACCTCCAGATTCCACAGCTGGATGAAACCCAAAGATCTCTGTTCTTCCACAGTAAATAAGAAATTCTTTGCTGTGAGGGTGGTGAGGCACTGGAGCAGGTTGCCCAGAGAAGCTGTGGCTGCCCCATCCCTGGAGGTGTCCAAGGCCAGGCTGGATGGGGCTTGGTGCAACCTGGTCTGGTGGGAGGTGTCCCTGCCCAGGGAAGGAGGTGGCACTGGGTGATCTTTAAGGCCCCTTCCAACCTGAACCATTGTGTGATTCTATGATTTTGTGCAGCCCTGCTCCAGAGAGTCTTCCCCTGTGTGAGAAGACTTGCCTGCCAAAACTGATAGGTACGTTTCCACTAACAGCCATCAAATCAGTGGCTTCTGACTGGAGAAAATAAAAACATTTTTGACAGAAAATTCCCAACCAGCACCACACATTAAACCAGAAACTGACTTACCTCATCACACCTGTAGTGCCTTAGAGCTCCCTTCTCTTAAATCAGAAACTGACTTACCTCATCACACCTGTAGTGCCTTAGAGCTCCCTTCTCTGGCAAGTCAAGTCGTCCTTTTGAGATGGAGCTCTGATGTTACAGGGACCCAGGACAGCCAATTATCAGCTTGAGGAGTTTCGGTTAAATGGAAGAAAATATATTTCAAAGTTTAATTTTTTGTTGTAATTCTGTTTTTTCATATAATTAAGAAATTATAGCACTCGCTTCTGTCATTAGATATCCAACCAGAGTCAATGAGTTAGTAAAAAAAAAAAAAACCCAAAACCAAACCAGGAGATCAGTGCAGTTCCACGGGATGAGCTCAGCAAAGTCAGAAATGGCAAAGAGTGAGCATGATTTTTAAGTGAGGTCTTCCAGATTTAGACAATAGGAACCTACCCATCCTTTCAGCAACCTTTACCACCCCAGAGCTGCAGTCATTCTAAAATAAACATGGCGATATTTACACAAATGTAAATGAAATCAAGTCACATTGTGCCATACCTTTCAGCCCCGTTAAGACATACCCCTCGTGGTGGTGTAAGGCACAAGGCCAAACGATTTCAACAGCCCAAGAAATGGAATAGCACCCTGAAAATTGGCTAGCCTGGGGTGTCCTTAAACAGAAGCCTGAAATATCTGGAAGCCAAAGGGTTTTTGCGTTTTCTCCCTCCCATTGGCATGCACATAAATCACTGCCACTAAGTAAAGAAGCACCATTTGTTTCCCAGAGTCCTATTTATTTTCTCAGCCTGAGAAGACAAGAAGCACTCGACCAAAACACAACTGGCTGACAGAAAAAGGGAGGTGTGGGGCTGACACCCCACAGCTGAGAGAGGCTGGTGGGCCCGGATCTCGCAGCCCACCCATTGCATCAGATCCCACCATGCCCAAGCAGCCAGAGAAGCTCAAACAAAAGCCTATCTATACGTAGAACATGCGAGCTGTCACAGTACCTCAGGAATTCAGGTGATCCAAGCTCCCATCAGAGGGTTTACACGGGTTCAGCTGCTGTGACTAATGGGATTTATACAACCTTTGATCAAAACATTTGTGCTTTACAAAATTTGTAAGAGCAATTAGGATATGAGAAGCCTTCTACTGAAATTCCCGGCTCATGTTGCAGGGTTGGGAGCTAAATAAATAAATAAATAAATAAACAAGCCAAAACCAACTGCATATAATAGCAACAAACTCTCACTATTTACCAGTACACTGGTTAATGGTCAGGTGTATCCCAACTCAATACCCCCACCACAAAAGCATTTGAGCAATGTATGAGCATCTTTTTTAACAGGGAGGAAAGGCAGGGCCTAAAGAGAGGATGGCCCAAACCTTGGCTTTGTACTGTCTTCCAGACCAGAAGCCTCCTGCACATGAGGAGAGCTGGGGCAGGCAGAAAGCCACCCAGCTTTGCTCCCTGCCCTGAGTGACTCTGGGGGAGCAGTTTCTCTGTACCACGTTGCACCACCTCAGAGGACCTTGCTCTGCCATGTTTGCCACAGGGACTTGCCTGGCAAGAGCAAGAATCACTCCTCAAGCTCATGCTGTGGTGTACAGACCAAGCCTATGTCATCGGTGGTGTACCAGAGCTGGTGACACACACACAGCCTCAACAGGTTGGAGTAGGATTGGGTCCTGAATAGGTGAGGGGAAGCAGAGTGGAAAACAAATAAAAAGTTCAGCCTGGAGAAAAGGAGGCTGAGGGGAGACCGTCTTGCTCTCCACAACTCCCTGAAAGGAGGGTGTAGCCAGGGGGTGTCAGTCTCTTGGGTCAAGTGCCCGGGTCTCAC